CACATTAAATACCTATCATGTCACCCACAGACCCTCCACATTGCACAGCCATGCTTCAGTACCACACACACACACACACACGTGGCCTGAATGTGTATCACTCAGGAGCACATGTGTCACTTCGTACACATCACACCCAAGCATACACTTTTCACACCTCTACCCCATGCTCCGCCCCATGTATCTATTCCACACCTCTACTTCCTGTCCCCTCCCCCAGGATCCTTCTCCCTCTATCCAGGCAGAAGATGAAAGGCATCTTTCTGGTCATCTTCGCGATGCAAAGCCCTAGCAGGAAAGAGGAACAAGTGGGGACAAATGACTACATTTGTATGCTTTGAGCATCCGACAGGCATTTGGATACAATGGAGCATTTTATAAGTTGGTGGATTTGGGGAAATTTTATTTGAGTCAGATGATTCTTTTCAAAGAGTCAGATGATTCTTCTTCAAAAATAAGCCACACGTGTTGGCTTGGAGGGCTCACCATGTGGTGAGGGTGAGGACAGGTAAACAGATGATTCTGAAGCTCTGGGAGCCCAGGGTTCACCACCACAACCATCTACCGGGGAGACTTTGTGGAAACCCTGAGGACATGGAGTGACTTGTGTCTGCTGTGGGACCAGCAAACCAGTGCAGAGGCTGGCACAAAAAGCTACAGTGTCTTGGTCACTTTCCTTGCCACTGAGACACAATGGCTGATGCCCACAGTTTAAAGGAGAAGTTTACATTCTCAGAAGTTTTAGTCCATGGTTAGCATGGTGGAAGGGCTTGGTGCAGAGGAAAGCTGCTCACATCATGGCAGCCAGGAAGCACAGAGCGTGAAGGGAGGTGCTAGGAAGGTCACGCTACAGTGACCTTCCTCTAACCAGGTCCCACTTCTCACAGCACACTCGCTGCTAATTTCCTCCATGTTCTGATTGTCTTCCAAAAACCCTGTCCCTAACACACGAGGCCTTTGGGAGACATTCTTGATCTAACACTGAGAATACAGATCCCTCTGATCAGAAGGTACACGATCGTGGAAGCTGACATGGGAGGAGCAAGAGGAGGATGAGAGGTGAGGACTAGGTGAGGGTGTGGGCCTTGGTCTTGGCATCCAGTAGTGCTGGGACCTTGGGTTTTACTTAGGCTTCCTGGACTTCAGTTTGTGTACCTGGAAAGGGCAATGGTCTTTGCAGTTCTGGCTGGTGCTGAGGATTATTTATAAATGAAGTGGTCCATTGGCCAGCGAACAGTGAACACTTCAGGAACTATAGCCACTGCTATTATTATTGTAATTATTATTACCACCCTTTTCTTCTGAGTTTGGTGCCCCAGCTGATGGGAAGAATGACCTCCAGGGCTTAGAAGAGGAACTGGCCTTGAGGAGGAGAGAGATGCCCCAGGAAGGGAATTGTGGAGACACAAAAAAAGTGGAATTGGAGTTGACTGGTGCAGGCAGGCGTTCTCAGTCTTGGCTGCCTGTTAGAACCATCAAGGGAACTTTAGGAAATACCTGTGTGCAGGCCTCACCCCAAGACCCATTAGCTAGGGAGGCCCAGGCATTGGTATTGAAGAGAACAGACCTGATGGTTGTGATGTGCACCAGGGGGGAAGATCACTGGGGACAAATGTTGGTTGATGTGGCCAATTCTTATCAATCCATAATAGGCACATGTTTTTTGGTTCTAACTTTTTTTTTTGGTACTGGGGATCGAACTCACAACCTCACACTTGCTAGGCGGGCGCTTATGCCACTGAGCTAAATTTCCAGCCCTGGTTCTAACTTTTGACAGTGCCCTTTCCCTGGATCTAAAAAGATTTCCTCCCAGGACACCCCATGTCTTTAGGGAAGCAGGAATCTTGGCAACTGGACCAATGGGTGATGGGCGGGAAACAGACGAGTCAGATGGACTTAGTCTCCTGGGCCTGAGCACCTGGGCAGGGCCACATGACAATTCCAGCTTTGGGGCTTCTGGGTGGCATACGACTGGCAAAGGCACACTGCATCAAGGGGAGGAGGATCACCGAGCCTGGGCCAACGAGAAACAGCACTGTTCCCTGTGCTGCCCACAGTCTTGGAAGCCATCTGAGCTCCGCAGCCCTGGCCTTACCTGCCGCCCCATGCCCAGCCTCACTTTCTGCCAGTCCTGACCTCTCCGTCCAAGCTTAATGAGCTGCTCCTCTCAACGCTGCAGGCAGCCGTGTAGCAGCCCCACGCTGCTTCCTCCGGGGTTACCTCCTTTGTCTCCTCCTCAGGTTACGCTCCTGCTCCTGGGGGCAGCTCTTGAAGGAAGCCTTCCTGGGCCATATCACCTCCCTGGCAAGTGCCCCTAGGTTGCCATAACACCGTTGCTCATGGTTCTTCAACCTTCTGAACACCCAAGTGCAACCACCTCTCTGCAGTCACCTGCAGTTTTCAGACACAAGTGCTTTGGAGAGGAGCTTCTGCTCTACCCTTCCCCCAGACCCCCCTCACCTGGGGCACTGGAGGTGCTCAGGTGAGTTTGTGCACAGGTGAGTGAGAACTGGAGAGCACACAGTTGCTTCCCAGAGTGCTTCCCTGTCACTTCCCAGAGTTGGTCTGTGGGGACACCAGTGTGTGTGTCTGGTACTGTGGAGAGCTTCCAGTCTTGGTTGGCTAGTCCCCCAGGATGTGGGGACTGAACTTGTGGCTCAGGGCAAGGTGACCTAGAGGAGAAACTGTCAGAGATCTCAGTTTCTCTGCTGGAAGACGAGGTTGATCTAGTCCATGATGGTGAAGCTTTTAGAGCTCTCAATGATGCAAACAGCCCAGTGTGGCGTGTGTACCATGGGGTGGCCAGCACTGATCTAGTCACTTGGTCTGACAGGGGGATCAGATCCCTCCCCTTACTATTTGAGTAGCCAAGCCACTGCTCTCAGGACAGTTGGCCCTGGTTCTGCCAACTGTCATTGTATGCCTTTATTGAAAAAGGGTGTAAGAACTGTCCTAGGACCTGAGGATAAGCACAGCCCCTTTGACAGAGGGTCATAGTGTCTTGCTTGGGGCTCCAGCTTGACCTCCATAGTGAGTCACACAGGAGCACCCATCCCCATACTGATGGGGGGACAAGTGAAGGCCTAAGGCTATCTTCCCCCATCCTTCTCTCCACATTTTAGAGTTTGTGCCATTGCTCCTTGGGCTGGGTGAGTTCTGCTCAGCAATGGACCAAGCTTTTCTCTTTCTTGACCTTTGACCTGAGAGTAGAGAGCAGTCCAGTCCTCAGCCCAGGGAGAGTTGAATCAGAATGGATCCAACTCCAGTGTCTTCACCACCCCACTGCCAGGCTGGCGATATGTGTGTAATGGGCCCCATCCCTGCCCCAAGACCTCAGGCTCAGGAGATTCGACCTCTTCATCATGCTGACTGTTCCAACTCTCGCTCCTGAACTCCAGCATCCCTGAGTGCTCCTCAGAGCTCCTCAGAGCTCTGCAACAAAGAACCTGCATGTCCTTGGGTCCAGCCAAACCTGGGATGGCAGAGACAGGTGGCAGCCCTCCTCCTGCCTCAAAGAAGAACAATCAAGCTATCAGATGGATTTCTTTTTACCAATTCCCATGACAAATGGGTCTGTGAAGGAGGGCAGCCTGCCTGGGGCATTTGTACTTCAATGAGGATGACAGAAGGCGCTGGATTCATAAAACTCTAATGCACTGCTCGAGCATATTTCCCAATAACTGGACTCTGCAGTCAGGGGGCTGTTGGGACCTCACTGCTATGAAAGGAGGCACCTCAGCCTTCACCCAGCACAGATGGACCTGCTCTGTGGCCTCCCCTGAGACCAGGCTGTGTGTTTGGCTGACCTTAGAGACTCCCTGGGAAGCATCATGCACAGGTAGTAGTGGCGGATGTTGGAATATGGGGGCTTTGGCGCCAGCCAGCCTTCTCCCCAGGATCTGCAGGACCCAGCTGGCCTTCTCACTTTCCTTGCCTGTGGGTTTGTAGCTGGCAACCCTTTGCTTCTGGATGGTGAGGAATGCACAAAATGAGGAACAGAAACCTGGATGCAGTGAGGGCATGAAGCCAACACTGGGTGAATGCTTGGGGTCCTCACACGGTGCAAACCTTCCTGTGGACATGAGTGAGAGGGGGAATGGAAGCTGTCATTCCGTCCCACCAAGTAAAGAGCTGAATGAACAGAAACCAAGTCTCCTTCAACTTGGTGCAGGTCACAGGCAAACTACGACCCCTGGAGTTGTACAGACAGGCAGGCAGATTCTGGGAGTTGCTACCTACTGAAAAGAGATTGTGAGTGCCAGTGCAGGGGTCATTAACATGAACTGGCAACTGGGGGACCGAGGCATGGGGAACCCACAACAACCTGGGTCTCACAGTGAGCAGCAGAGAAAAAGCCCCCAGGGCTTCTGGTAGTGGGGAGGGGAAAAGGGAACATTTGAAGCGCCCACTGAGGGCTGCCCTCAGGAGAAACTAGCTAACCACAGCCTGTCCTGCTGGTTTTATCAGGGGAGTGGGGAGTCCCAGCACCAGCCCCTCTGGCCTCTGGTCCCACAAGCTGCACATCAAAGGCTTGTGTGCATCTTCCAGTCCAGATTGCTATACTTAGTCACAGGCTGAGTCACAGGGTCACAGGACACTGCCTGTTCCTCACCTCCTGCCATATCCCTATGGTCCTGCACACATGAACTCTGGCCTCTGCCCAGAGGATAATTTGGGATGGCTTTACACAGGCCTTTGCCCTTGGCAGAAAGTGGTAATAGGTTTAGTGTTACTGTAAATATTCCCTTCTGGGGCATTTTAAAAGAGACAAGAAGGGTCCCCAGCAACAAAGGGCTCACAGCTCTATCTGTTCCACTGACTCTCTGCTGGGCGACCTTGAGCCAGTCCCTGCTGGCGGGATTCATCAGTGGCATCTGGCAAAGGCTGCCTGTCCCATAACAGGTGTGAGCACCCTGGTGGGGCCTGCAGAGAGCAGGGGCAGGCCAGCCCTTGGGAGGCACCGCCCCGCCACAGTCCAGGATATTATCGTTTGTGAGTTTGAAATTTCCTGACAGACAGGATGAGCATCTGAGGCGAGAGTTTCATTTCCTCTGCTGTCCAGCTCGGCATCTCCCGGGGAAGGTATGGAGTGACAAGCTATAATTAAAGCCTTAGAGTACGTCCTCGTCGGGGAAGGACGGTCTCATGGTCAAGTGGGCTGCTGAGGACACGCCTGTTGCTCTAAGAGTCGGCAGGAGTCTGCTTCCTGTCTGCTGGACCAGGTGTCCTGTCCTGGTGACCTGATAGGGCTTCCCACACCCTCAGGCTTTGGCCCCTCTCCCCAGTTCCCAAAAGCCCACCCTGTGGATCCATTCCAGGGTCCTGCAGAAATCTTTGTGCTGAGGGTGCTGGAGGCCACATGCCTGGAGACAGTGCACAGGGGTGGCTGATCATCCTGGAAGCTTAGGCAAATTGTCATAAGGACAGGATGGTCTTTTGGTTTCGGCCTGAAGTGGAGGGGGTACAGGGGAGGGGTGATGCAAAGGACACCCCCGCCCCAACAGAAGTGCTTTGCAAGCTAAGTTCATTTGTCATCCCAGTTGTAGCTGGCCCACGAAATCATTGTGGCCAAATCACTTTCCTTTGGTAGTGTTCCCTTCCCTCTGGAACATTACTCTTCCATTTGTTCAGCAAATATTTATCAGGGACCTGTCTTAGCACCAGAGATGGCCAGCAAGATAGATATGTGCCCTACTCGTAGGGGAGAGACAGGGACAGCTCTGGGCCAGATAGAAGTCTGCTCCTGGGCCTCCTGGAGAAGGGCACAGGGCAGGGTGGACTCCCTGGTCTCAGAATCTGAATCCTCTACTGCCCCCCACAGATCCTCCCCCGGCCTTCACTCTAGGACACACCGAGCCAGTGGGTCCTGATCTAACCATGCGCTCCCTCCCAAGCTGTCCTGAGCCCTGACCTGGTTCCACCAGGCACGTTCTCTCCAGTTACGCCTTGGAACGGGCCCTACTTTTCATGGGGGACAGGAGGTATCCTGTGAGGAGGGCGATGGTCTTCCTGGCCACCTTGCCTACTTCTACTCACAAGCACATCACTTCCCTGACATTTGTCTTTGTTACTGTTGTTTTGTTTTATTTGCATGTACAAATTTTCTTGTGCTTTTTCATGCATTGATGGAGTCCTCAAAAAACCATCTGTCCCCAAAGAACAAAGATGGTTCTGTCCTTATGGGGCTCTTCCTGAATGAGTACACTGGATGGGAGTTTATGTGGTCCCCAGGCACCCTTCAAAGACAGTGACTCTTGCAAGTGCACCCCTTTCCTCTTTTGTCCGTGAGCTCCCAGTTGGCCAATTGGTCTCCCTTCCTGAGGGACTGTGATTGGCAATAGCCAGGTCACCTTAACTGTCAGGCGTGTCTGTGAATTCCACTGTCCTTGGACTCTCGCGGTGTGTGGTTCTGGAGGCCTGGCACGCTGCCCATGGTGGCCAACCTCAGGACATTCATTTGCTAGGGCTGCTATGACAAAGTACAGCCAGTAGGGTGGTTTAGAACAGTTCTGGAGCCATGATTTCTTCATGTATAAAGTGGAAATGATGCTCAATCCTACCCTACCTATTTTGCCACACAGCTGAGGCCTAAAGTTATGGTGCCAGGAGGGCCACTCTCAAGCCTGGTGGTGGGGAGGATCCCCAGCACCTGGGGATGTGCTGGCTGTCCTTGCCATGGCTGGCTGTTCCTTGGTGGTCCTCACTTGTGGTAGCAGCCTGACTTCTTGGGTACCATCATTACACACCACTCTGCCCCCATGAGTTGGTCTCTTTGTCTCTTCTCATTATAAGTGAAAGGGTTTTGGCCCAGGCCGGATACTGTAGCTGGTAAAGCCACGAAGCTCCTATCTCCCCCTCCCTTAGAATCTGCCCCTGGCGCCAAACAAAGACCAGTGGGCTACCTGTGCATCCCTAATGCCCCCTTAGGTTCCACCCCAAGCTGAGGCTACTTATGTGCCTCACTCCACGTGTTCCACGGAGAGATCGCTGACCCCGGGGTGGAGATGCCGCACCCTGGGGGTTCGGGGGTGTCTCTCCCCACATTCTCAAAATAAAGGTCATTTATATTTCATATTTCTTATCTTTTCAGCTGCTGCCGGTCCTCCCCCCACAGTTCTATCAATAAGGATACCCGTCACACTGAATTAAGGCCTGCTCTCTTCTCCCATGACCTCAACTTAACTAATTATATTGGCACAATTCTACTTCCAAAGAAAGCCACATTGTGAGACGTTGGGGGTTAGGATGAGAGCATATTTGGGGGACACAAGTCACACCTGTTCTACCTACCTCACTGCTTGCTGGAAGCCCTTAGAAATGGCTGGGGTTGTTAGCATCACTGCTGTGGTACAAGAGGCCATTGGAAGGGCCGCGTCTACATCCCTCTGTTTGATCTGTGAGAGTCCAGCACCGTGTGCGCACACATTCAGTCTGAAATGGTTCCTCTTCTCCTTACCATCTCCTCCTGCTTCTGCCTCATCTTCTCTTCCTCTCCTTCCTCACTTCTTCTTCCGTCTCCTCCCCGCTTCCTCTTGTTCTTTTAGTAGAACTGGGGAACCCAGGGCCTTGCAGTGCTACACCCTGACCCTTTATCAACGTTTTGAGACAGGCTTGGCCTCAAACATTTTTTGAGACTAGGCTGGCTTCAAACTCATGATCCTCCTGCTTCAGCCTCTGCAGTAACTGGGATAACAGTACCAGCAGGACTGTCAGTAAATAATTCCTAATGCTGCTGCTGCTGACAGTGCCTGGTTTGTGCTGGTTTAGTCCCTAGAGGCCGGACACAGAGCTGCTCCACAGAATACAATTCACCCAGGGCCAGTTTCTTAGGGTCCTCCTGGCCTGACCTTCTGCTGAACTCTGACGTCACAGATCCTCTATCGCTGGTCCTGGGAGAAGCCAGCATACCCCCGGGTGAAGCCCTTACTTTTAGTACGACAGCTATTTTATCTGGGCTGCAAGGAAACAGAGATATTTTAAGATGAGCGTGTCAGCTGGGGTCAGCTTCCTTGCAGCTATCCTCGTGCTGTCAGGAGGAGAGAGGTTTCCGCTGTCCGGCGGGAGCCCATCCATCACTCCAGACAGCCCTTAATCAGACAAAGGAGCCCTCACTGTGGAGGTGCAGAAAGGGAGAGACTGTATTATTGTGCACACTCAACAAATAATTTTGGACAGGAGTTTTAAGCCCATAAATAAGTCCCATATATCTCCCAAGCATCTAGATCTCTAAGGTAGCTGGCACCCTTCTTCTCTGGTTTGAGTATCCCAACCTTCCTTCCTGCACAACTCTCTCCTTTCTTCCCAAAGATATTATTATTTATTCATTTATTCATTCGACAAACATTCATGGGCCCTTTCAATGTACCAGGTCTCCGCCAGCTGCTAGGAGCAGTGTCTTGAGGAGCTCATGGCCTTATAGAGAGGTCATTAGCAAACAATCCAAGCGAGTGTCACATCTGCAAGTGCCAGAGCTGAGGTAGGGGCAGAGTGCTCAGGACTCAGGAGTGCTTGTCTTTCCTGGGCAGATGGAGGGCAAAAGCTTCAGCTAGGTCTGAGGACTTCGCAGGCAGCCCGGAGTGAAGGAGGGCGCTCTGGAGAAGAATGGGGTGCAAAGTTCCAGGGGTGGGGCAGCTTGCAGGAATTCCCAGTGCAGCTTAGCAGGCCTCAGCTGGGAAGGCAGGCAGGGCTGGAAGGGGAAGGGCTGTGAGCTGGGAAGAGTCCAAGCTCTATGAGGACAAGTGGCCGCCAGCGCTGCTCCTCGGTCTCCCCTGCACCCGGGACAGTGTCCGCACAGTCCGTGCGTGGCTGCTGAGGACGAAGCAGTCACAAACATTTGGCATGGAGGCCAGCACTGAATCGGCCCTGCATCCCTCACCTGGCTCCCACTGTCCTCCAGGGGAACCTCAAGACTCCAGCTAGCCATCAGTGAATCCACTTTTCTCCAGCTGCTCTTCAAAACTGTACTTAACTCCATTTCCCCGTCAGTCCTTCTCCAACTGTATGTTCTGAGTCAGGGGCTGGCACACCACTGACAGAAGCCAGATCTTGTAACTTCTTTTTTTTGAGTCAGGAGTCTTGCTAGATTGAGTGGTCTGGCCTTAAGTGCTACTTTCAAACGATCCTCCTGCCTCAGCCTCCCGAACAGGTGAGACTACAGATCAGGTGCACCCCACTGTGCCTGAATGACAAACAGTCTTTGGTGGGAACTCAGCCATGCCAGTCTGTGGGTGCTTTTGATCTTCGAGGCAGAACTGAGTACTGTAGTTACAACAGAAACTGTGTGGCCTGTGAAGCTGAAAATATTTCTTATCTGTTCCTTTATTTAAAAAGTTTTCAAAACACTTGTGCTAAGTTTTTGGACCTAGCTCCTTGCACATAGCCAATGTATAACAGAAGCTCTGATCAAATATACAGTGACTTTTTTTTATCAGTATGGGGGACTGAACTCACAACTGCCTGCTTGCAAGGCAGGTGCTTATGCCGCTGAGCTAAATCCCCAGCCCCTAAATACAGTGACTTTTAATTAAAAATATTTTTATTACAGTAAGATACAGTGCCATTAATCTCCCCCCCCAAAAACACACCCCCTTGCCTAAAACACACACTCATCAACCTGCCACTTTCTTGAGTAGCTCTGCAAGGCCTCTTCTGCAGGTATCTTTAGTTGTGTTGTCTGCCTCCATGTCCTGAATCCATTCAGAACATTTACCTTTTGTGGTCATTCTGATACTCAGGAAGAGCCAGAAGCTGCACAGCTCCAGATCTAGTGAATAAATAGGTGAACGGGGACATCCCACATGGGTATGACCCTGCCCTTCGTTAAATGGCGTGCGGTAGTGGCATTTGTATATTTTTAAATCACACCTCATACGTAGTTGTGAACGCATGACTGAAGAAGCCAGTGAACAACTAGCTTAATGAATGAATGGCACTCAAGTGTCACCTTTCGTGTCTCCGTCATAGCTTGCCCTGCATGTGTTGTCATCTCTCAGGCCTGGGAATAGCACTGCCTGATGACCTTCCAGAGAGACAGTGCAGAGGGCAGGGCAGGCACCACCACCCCACCCTCATCTGTGCGCAGGGTAGGCAGGAGACCCCGGGGCAGTCGTGTGGCAGCAGGAAAGGCTGCGGTCTCAGTCAGGACTCTCGAACATCTGAGGAAAATGGGGGTGCGGTTGAATCATTGAAGAAGTGAAGGGGAGTTTCCAGCTCTGAGGAAAGGTAAGCAATTGGGGAAATCTGGGGATCAGAGCAGATGAGGCCACAAAGCCCTTCCTCTGCATTTATCTCTTCCTCTCTGCTCTTGACTCTATTTTGTAGATTGGTAGATTTGGTAGATTGGTTTGATCCATGTGGCAGAGAGCATGATCACCTCCAGACCTAGATTTATGCTCTCCTGTTTAGTAATCCAAGAGGTCAGGGTTTCCCCTCATAACATTTATTCATAAGTCTTGAAAAGACTCTGATTGGTCAGATATGAACCAGGTGTATCCATTCCTGAGCCAATCCCTATGGCAAGAAGCTTGAGAACTTTGATTGGCCAAGCCTGGGTCACATGGTTACTCCTCATATATGATGGGTATAATATCAAAATAAGAAGGGTTGGTTCAAGCAAGCTGGGGAGCAAAACAAATGTCCATTGGCCCCAGCAGTTACTCAGAGACCTGTTGTCCATGAGCTTGGACTGCCAACAAGAGAAATGGTCTCATAAGCCACCAAAAGCCCTCCTATCACAGCAACACATCGAGCATGCAGTCAACCTTGTACCACTGCTGAGTTTAGAATCTAGACGTGTAATTGCTTACATTTCTCCTCCTTTTGGTTAGGATTGGTCCCAGAAACAGTTAAGCTGTGTGTGTGTGTGTGTGTGTGTGTGTGTGTGTGTGTGTGTGTTTCAACATGATCCTGCCAGGATTGGTAGTGGGATTCACTTGACCTTGAGTATTAATCAGGATGCTTATTGGTAGAATATGACAGAGATCAAAAGTGGAAGGGGCTTGAACAACCTGAGAAATGGGTTATCTCCCAAGGAAAAGTCCTGATGTGGAGTGGTCTTGGTTAGTTCAGTGTCTCTCCTCCCTGTGTCCTCTGCTCTGGGCTAGTCATCTAATACAAATTCCTCAGGGTGCTCAAATGGCTGCTAGGTTCCAGACCTCACAACATTTAAAGCTGGAAGAAGGGCAGAGATAGCTGTTTCTAGGGCTTCTTTTTAAGTAAGAGGAAAACTTTCCTGGAAATCTTCCTCCCAGTATACTTACCCCAGTGTCTCATTGGATGATGCTTCGTTTTCAAAACTGTTTTGGTGAGGGGACAGGAACCACTATGAGTAGCTTATATTAATCAAGATTTACCCCCTGAATTCAAATTCTGACTCCATTCCTTAGTAGCTTAATATGACTCATTTAAGAGCTTGATATGACTCATTTAGTCAGTTAATAACACCACGGCGCCTCAGTTTCCTCATCTGGAAGAGGAGCTCAGGACGAGTTCACGTCCCACACACATGGTCTGCAGTACTGTCTTGCATCTAGCAGTTTCTGGGGCACTCGGTAGATGCAGCTTTCTTTTCTTCTTTCCTTGCTTTGGTCTAAACACCAACCGTGCCACACTGGCTGTGCCTTCTGCCTCTGAGCCTTCGTCTTATGTCTGATGTTTATCAAAAGTAAGAAAAAAAGGAAACCTCACTTCAGGAATTTACATTTATCCCTTTTACAAGTTTTCGGCCCATTATTTCAACCTCTCAAGATATTTCTGAATCTCAATTCTGCCATTCTTTCTCCTAACAATCCCTCTGGCTTTGTGTCAGCTGCAAATTTGATAAGCACATCTTCCATTCGCCTTGATCCAAGTCGCTGAGAGAGCGGCTGAGACTCGAAGGTCAAGGGCTGAGCCTCTGAGTACCAGAGACGCCGCCCCGAGCGTGTGAGGCCCAGCCCGCCCCCTCAACCCCACAGGCCTAGGTGGCTTTGGCCACCATCTGGCCAGAATCGCCACGCTGCATCTTTTATCAAAGGCACCTCCTCGTTCCTCCTGTCCCCAGCAACTCTGTCAGGCAACACTCGGCTGGCGTCTAGGCATATTGCTGTGCCATCCCCAAGTCCTACGCTTAGCAATTTGCCAGGGATTGTTATCCAGTTTGTCGGCCTGTTACGCGGAGTTAATATTTTATTTTGCTCTGAGTACAAAATATGAACTAAGTGTCAGTAATCAAGTTTTCTCCCCCCTCCATTATCCTACAGAGATGCCTGGGCATCTTGCCTGAGAACCTTGTCTGGAGAATGCCCTGAATAAGGTAAGTGGTATCACCTGGCAGGTCACTCTCTTCTTTGTCCTGTCCTCACTGCACGGGGCAGACTATGTTTAGTATAATCCATTGAAGCAACGCTATGCAAGATGGTCGGTCTTGGCACCAAAGAGGTTGTTTCTTGTAGTTGCTCCCCTCCAAGAACTGAGGATCCACCAGCCCCTTCACCATGGGAATGCCCGGGGCAGGTCCCCGGAACACCTGGACCTGCGGTTGTGAGAGCAGAGGGAGCGGGCCGCTGTGCAGGCGGAGGGAGGAGAGTGGGGAGGCCAGGCAGATCCAGAAGGGGCTCTCTCCTTGACTTTTCTCTGTGCAGCCTGGAGGACAGTCCCCCAACTTCAGCAGGCCAATAGCTGGGGTCCGGGAACTGATGCCCCATTTCCTAGATGTGACTACCCACGGCATAGAGTGGCTCTCTACCAAGCAGGGGCTCTGGCAGCTTTATTATAAGTTTATTACATGCTAATTCAAGCAAATAAATTTGCCCCAGCTGTGCAGCAGAAGAGATTAATAACCTCAAAGATTACTTTGCTGCTTTGATGAGTTTCTTGAGCAGAGTATATTTAGGAAGAGCAACTAGATTAGTCAAAACCCCCTCTAATTATTAGTGACACTGTGCAAACGACTCTATATGACCAGAATACCAACTACTCAACTCCCTGACCTTCGTAGTCAAATAAACACATTACAGCCGGCATGCTTTCAGAGTCTGTACACCATGGCAACTGCTGGCCTGGGGACCTGGAACTGGACAGCTGCCAGGAGGACTCCATTAAGGATGAGACGACAACCTTAAAGGTATATGACTCCTTGTCCCTGGCTTCACCCCTCGCTTGCCCTGGGGCCTTGAGGACTGCTCTGGATTTCCTGGAGCTAGAAGAATCATTTCTCAAAGCAAGGGAAATTACTTGCCCAAAGTCTTGCTGTAGGTTAGCCTCACAGACTCCCTGGCTCTGCCATCTGTATTTTCCAGGCTGAAATCAGTTTTGCAGCAAGAGGCTGGGTCTGTTTCCTTGGAAACCATGAAGGTGACCAATTTCTTTCTTTCTTTTTTTTTTTTTTTTTTTTTTTTTGGTACCAGGGTTCAAACCCACAACCTGGCACTTGCCAGGCAGGTGCTTGTGCCCCTGAGCTATATCGCCAGCCCAAAGTGACCAAAGCTGATTTGGGGACACTCAACTACCTCTTTGCCTGAATGCTTGTGTTAGGCAGGAAGTTAGACACTGGTAGATTTGAAGACACGTGGCTGGGCCCTTAGGAGAAGGTTACGTGAGAATTAAGGGAAATATAAAGGTGTTTTCTGTTTCTTTTACTTTTTTAATCCTTCATCATATAAAATCCAAATATGATTATGATCTCAAGCTTTGGCTCAAAGGACTGTAACCTCTTCTGAGCAGGCTGATAAGGTCCAGAGCCCTGAGCAAAGTCTCAGAAGAAACCCCAGTGTCGACAGAAACATTCCACCTAGAGGAGCAATCAAAAGCCTCTGTCCCTTGAGGCTGGCCGGAACTACCGCAGAGCTGTAGCAGAACAATGGCCTCAGAGGGAGAGGTTCATATTCCTTGAAGGTCCATTTAATGGGGGGCAACCGCCATCTCGGTGACCGCCTGGCCCTTTCCCTTAGTGTGCTTTCGCTTTGCATTGAACTGCTGAGATTCTGCACCGTGGTCCAGAGGTCTTATGTGAATTCTCTCATGGAAGCTGTAAGAACCGAGCGGTTACTGGTTCCTCTTGGTGTCAGACTCCGCTTCCGATAACACCTCCTTCAGTGAAAGGGCCTCTGCTCGGCTTCTCTTAAGCTCTTCCTGGCTGGAGCTGCTTGGGAGTCTCACCTGCCCAGGTTCAGAGAATGCAGGGATGAAGAGTCATTCAGGTGGCGGAGGCACTGGTTCTCTCGTCAGGGTTGGTGGAGAACAGAGGGACAACATCATGGAGGGGAACCGAGGGAGGAAGGAGGGAGTGACCATGTCCTAAACAGAAGCACAGACAAAGGGGCTCACCAGACTAGACCTCTTCCTTCTGCATCAGCTCTCTCCCAAGAACTCCCACAGGGCCTTGTGAAAAAGACCTCACATCCCAGTGCCCTAGATCTAGGTTCTGCTTTCTTCCCATTGTACCACCCTGGCACCAAGCCTTTAATTGCAGTGGGCCCTCAGGCACCCATGAACATAGCAGCTCCTTGAACAAACCCACACAAGACTCTTGCAAGGACCCATTCCTGAACCTCAATAAGTCTGAGAGGGTGGCTTTACCCTGTGTCTTTTAGATGAAGAAACCAGCACCCAAGGAGCTCGAGTTCTGTGCCCTGAAATGCCCATCCCATGCTAGCACCCCAGGTCCCTCCTGACTCAGCTCAGGGGTCTCCTCTTTGCAAAGCTCCCTCCCATGCTCTGCTCTGCACTGTCCTCGGATTACACTCGGTGGAACTGTTTAGCTGACAGTTCATCTCCTTATTCTATTGCGTCTGAAAAGCAACAACTGAGTCTCTTTGTCTTCACATCCTGAGATGCTGGCTGAAAGCCTGGTCAGTACTAAGTGCTCAGCCAACACCGCTGCGGACTTGAAATTGCTCCGGGCAATCTTGGTCAGACAACACACCGCAATGCCATCTGCCCCGAGCCTGACCTTCTTGATTGGCAATTTGGAAAAAAATAGCTTTCGTCCTCTGATGCTATTCAATAAAAACCTTAGGCGTCAGAAGAAAAAAATGATATAGAATGGAGCTGCAGAAAATAAATCTGAACATGTATCTCAACTCAAGTGGAAAATGTCTTTCTCAGCATAGAAACAAAGGTGGATTTCCTAAGAGATAGATTTAGCTATGTAGAAATTCAGATGTTTTTCCCATAGGCTAAGTATAGATTTCTTCCCCAGATTCTGTCTGTACATATTTCTGGCTGACCTCTTGAGTTCATCTCAGACTTAAGAAGTATCATCAAGGTGAAAAACTCACTGGTCAAAATGCTTGGCTTTTATATTGTGGTTTATAATCCAGAAGACATATCAGAGACAGGTCGCCTGCATATCTTATTCTTCTTTCTTTAACATTAGAACCCCAGATTTTACTAGAACATCTACTTGCAAAATAAAAGACTATTTCCCAGTTTTCCTTGTGGCTGACATGTCATTGGGCTACAAATAGAACGTGTATGTGCAACTTTGGGGCCCTGTCCTTCAGGAGAACTAGCTACTTTTTCCCCTTAGCTCCTTGGCTGACGTGGGTTTGGGAAGAAAGGACCAGGGGCAACTCGATGGCCAGAAGGAAGCTGTGTGAAAGGAGCTTAAGTTCTTGGCCTAATGGAGCCATTGCATCAGCCCTGGAGAGCTCATCCTGGGACTACTGATTGCAAATTCCACACTGTTGCTACTTTTGGGTTTTTGTCATAGCACAAAGTCTGTCTTTTTAATTACAGAACACCTTGGCATGACTGAGAATCGGCCAGAGGGTCCACACCAGAGAATTTCACTACTCTGAACCTACACTGCTCTGAGCATGCTTAGGAACTGCTCAAACTCAGCTTCTTTACAACTGTGCAACTAGGTCTACAATTATAAAATAAAGTTTACTTTTAAAAAAGACTTTTAAATTTAACAGTATAAATTGTGATGAGAAATGTATGTATTTATTGTTATAGAAACATAATTAACATGGGGGAGTTATAACATGCCACTGAGTTATATCCCTGGCCATTCACTGTATTTCTACCAGTTGTGATCAAACCCTGGAGCACGCAGCAGTCAAATAATTTAAAGACAAATTAATTTTATCAAATTAATTTTATTATTATTATGCAAGTGTGATACACCCTGTGACTATTAACCCTGATACGTAACTTCATTGGATTAAGAAATGCCTAGCATCATTAGTAAGGCATGACGCTGGGGGCCATGGAGGTGTGACCCGGTCTCTTGCCTATTGGTCTCTGCACTGTTCACCTGCCCTGGTTCCCAGGTACCCTGAACTAAGCATCTGAGTTCCTCCATGCCCTTTCATCATGGTGTTTTCTGCCTTGGGGCCAAGTAACCATGGACCGAATCCCTGAAAGTTTGAGTCAAATTGTGTCCCAGCAATGGGAAAGCTGAATCACATATGCTCTAATAAATATAACTACAAAAATGTCTGAAATTATTTTTGATATACATATTAGTGGTGATGGTGCTGGCACTGTTAAGCTGAGACTGCCAGATGTACAATGTGAGAAAAATGGAGTCATTACATTGTTTTCCCTGGGAACTGACATTTTAAACTGTGAAAGAAAGGATACACAGATATGAGGCTGAGTGTAAACCTTGCAACCCTGAAACTGAATTGGAAATATCAATGTGAGATCATTACTTTATAGCTCTGTCCATTTCTGCCTACATCTTATCCTTCATAAAGACCTGAGACCAACAGCCAACTCAATAATATGAGCACTTCTACAGACCAGATAATGGCCTCTAAATTCTATTATCTCAAAGTGGAGTTTGGGGCATTTTTGGAGGAATAATGCATTCCAGTTCTTGGCAGGGGGCGCCCTACAAGGTCAGCCTACTACATTTTGTTGGATCAGAAGCTGTCAAAGATTAACAGGTAGTAACAACTTGAAGAGGTTCCTACTGGCAAAAGATGAGACAGCTTAATGTTCAATAAATATAACTACAATATACATTTCAATCTGTGATGTCATACTATTATTTTTCTTAAAAAGAGAAAGGAAAAGATATTCACTGATTATTTTTGCAAGATGTTGGAGAATCTACTCATTATTTGAAAAGCTGACAAGGAGAAAAACAATCTAGCATTTGCCTTTCTGTAGGTGAACCAAAGGCTGATAAGAAGATCTGTTCATGTGAGAGAGAAGTGACTCAGAATAATGTTATTTTGCAGTCTTTAATGAAAGTGTGGACAACCAGTTATCACGCGCTATCTGATGGAAGAACATAGCACTGACTATGAAATTTTATTGACAAAAAAACTAGAGTTGACTTTAAAACTTCTCAATATACTCATTTATTGTGGAGAATGGAGATTCTATTTAAGAATGCTGGGATGCAATCAGCAAAATCTCAGCTGTGAAAAGTCTACAGAACTAAGAACCTGCTACTACTTCTGACAAGGAAGGTAAGTATGTCGCGGAGTTTGCTGGTGGGGGGGCTGGAAGTACCATTAGCTTCCATCAGACTGCAGTGAGGGAGGTGGGGTGGATGAGGATGGTATGTCAGATTGGCATGGGGGTGCACGCCTATAATCTCAGCACTATGGGAGCCTGCAGCAGGAGAACTGCATATTCAAGCCAGCCTGGACAACTTAGCAAATTAGCACGACCCTATCTCAAAAACCAAACCAAAACATTAAAAAGAAGGACTAAGGGTGTAGGTCTGTAGACTTGTCCTGGGTTCAATCCTCAGTAAGACAGAATGGAAAGGGGGATGTGTGACACGGCAGAAGTCCAGGATGGGGTGTCAGAGCCCAAGTAGGGTGAAGAGATTTACATATCTATGTGGCATGACACAGGTTAGTGTCTGAGCAATGGGAAGGGCATTTCCTTGCAGGGTGTGGACCGTGAGTAAAGTGCGGCTGGCATCCATGTGGGGTCTGCCCAGCACACGGTGGCAGAGCCTGAGTGGGTCAAGGGGTGTCCACAGGGAGGAGCATCCTGTGGGGGTGCAATGGGACACAGCTGGTGGAGCCTGAGGAGACCCAAGGGGGCATTCATGTGGACAGGAGTGGTGATCTCATGTGGAATTTTAAAATCAAAGTGGGGTCAGAAGGATGTCCGTGTGAGGGTCCCACAAAGTGGCAAGAGACTGGTTATACAACTGGGTTTATTCAGTAAGTGACTGTGTCAGGGACAGTGGGATGCAGAGACAGAGTCACAGGTGTGGGACAGGCAAGGTGAGGGTGACTTCGGTGCTGCAGTTAGAGGTGCTAATGTGATGTCAAGTTTTCACATGGCTGGGTATGTGGAGCGCGATAAAAATATGGTGAACACTGAAGCCAGACTTATTACACAATTTCTACTTATTCTCCTCAAAAATGCTCTCTCTTCAAACACACTTATCCCACAGTCCTTGGCACTTCCTGAAGCAATCAAGAACTCCCCTCTAGTGAGCATCTTCTGTTGTGCTATTGTGGCTGCTCTGATGTCCACTCAAAACATGGTCTCTTTGTGATTCTGACTTTGGGGAAGAGCCAGAAGGCACACAGTGCGAGAGCCAGTGAGCAGAGGGGAGGAGGCGCACTGCGATGTTTCTTCGAGCATCTCTCTTCCGAGGAGGCGCTTGGCTGCTGTGTGCTCTGGGGTTTGATCACAACTGGTAGAAATACAAAAGACTTCCAGAGCTTCTTCAGAAAGTTGCAAGAAAATGGAATAAGTGTATCGGATGAGGGGGAATGTTTTGAGAGTGTTGATGGCAATGTGTCTGTTACTGTAATAATTTTTAATTTAAACATTCACTATATGTAGACCTACATATAGATATATCTGTATCTCTCTCTATCTATCTATCTATCATCTATCTATCTGTTGGTACTAGGAGTCAAACTCAGGATCTTGTGCTTGCTAGGCAGGTTATGCCACTGAGTTATATCCCTGGCCCATTCACTGTATATTCTGATTACTTTTTATATAGATATGAGCATGATATAAGTGATATAAATACATATACATGTGTGTGTGTGTATGTGTGTGTGTGTGTGTGTGTGTGTGTGTGTGTTTCTTAGCTCTGTTCGTTGAGAGGGCCAAAGAGGGCCAAAGCAATATCCCAATACCACAGTGCCCACGTCTTCATTTCTGAATACCATTCTCTACTGGAAAATGAATGCCAGTCCTTCACTCGGTGCAGGACTCCCTGGAGACATGAATGATTCTAAGGCCAGTACAGGCAATATATCAGGTGAGGCTAAAGTATCTTGTGCCAGAAAAAAAAAGAAAGTTCAGGTTAAAAAACCTCAGGAGGACCTATCAAAAGGACATAGGAATCACCCCAAGAGGCTCCCATTGGCTATATCAGAGGGAATTTGAATATAAAAATAAGTAATGGGAATAAGCAGTTGTAATCTTTTAAATAGTAATCCCCAAATTCACACTCATACAAATAAATAAATTTCTCTCACAGCAAAATACAATTCTCTAGCTTTATTTTACTCTAAGGAAATAGATAAACAGCTTATAAGGAGGAAGGATATGTTGGTTTACAGTGTCAGAAACTTCAGTCCATGGTGGATTGGTACTCTAGGCCTGGGCTGGCATGGTGCAACATGGGGAAGAAGGCTATTCAACTCATAGTGGCCAGGGAGCAGAGAGAGAGAGAAACAGGTAGGGGCCCAGGTCCCAGTATCCCTTCAAGGTCTGCCTCCACTGACCTAGCTTCCTTCCATTAGGTCCCTCCTCCTAAAATGTCTACCACCACTTTCCAATAGCACCATACGGTGATGACCAACCTTTTAGCATAATGCCTTTCAAGGCCTTCAAGACCCAAACTTTAGCTCTAGCAGATCCAGCTTAATCAATGGCTGATAATCAATAATTAGTAATCATATATCACTTAATAGGATACAATGTGAAGAGACTGTGTCACTTCTGTGACATTTCTGGAAGGTATTGCCTGGTAGACACAGGGACGCATCAGAAAACCCAAACTGAAGAACCCTGAAAAGTAACTTGCCTGGAACCTTCTGAGGTGTCAAGGTGATGAAAGTCGGAAGAAAATTGAGGGGAACTAAAGAGGCGTGACCATCAGATCTAAGACAGGATCCTAGATGGTACCTATAATTCTGAAGGACACTATTGGGACCACTGGTAGACTTGACTGGGCCTGCAGATCGTCCAGCAGGAGTGAATGGATATTAATATTCTAACTTTGATAGTTGAGTTGTGTCTGGGCAGGAGAGTGTCATAGGAAATCCACATTGAAACAACATATGTATGTGTGTGGAGGGGATTGCTAGTGGCAATGGGATATCACATCATGCCAGCCATTCCCTCCCAAATGGTTGAGGGAAGAAATTCTTTGTTACTATTCTTGTGAAACTGGACATACAGCTCAGTGGTAGAGCACTAGTCCAGCACCTGTCAGGCCCTGGGTTCCATCCCCAGCACTACCAAACCAAACCAAAACAAAACAAAAATGTGTTTGCAAATGTGGGACTATTTTAAAACTTTGAAAAAATCTTTAGCATTAAAAAACCAAGCTGTTTATAATGATCAATAAGCAGAAATAACCCAAAAGTCTACCAATGAACAAATGGGTAAGTATAATATGGCCCAGACATACAATGGAGTATTATTGGGAATAAAAAGAAATGAAGTACTGATTTATGCCACGAAGTGAAGGAACTTGAAAACGTTATGCTGAATGAAAGGGGCTAGACACAAAAGGCCACTATTTTATGATTCCATTTACATAAGATGTCCAGGATAGGGAAGTCTGGAGACAGAACATGGCTCAGTAGTTAATGAGGGACGGGAAAATGGGGGAAATGGAGAGAGACTGCTGATGGTATTTTTGAGGGGTGATGGAAGTATTCTAAAATTGTGGCAATGGTTGCACAATCCTGTGCATGCACTAAAAAACTACTGAATTGTATACTTTAA